TTTTTTTTTTTTTTTTTAGTTTTACTTTTTTTTTTTTTTTTTTTTTTAAAAAAAAAAAAATTCAATTCCCCAACAGTCACAAGTATAGTCATGTACTAACCTGATTTTAAAACTCTGGGTATATATAGGCATAAATTCGGCTAATTTCTATTTTAAGTTATAAATTTTTTTTTTCCAAACAGTCACAAGTATAGTCATGTACTAATCTGAATTTTAGAACTCTGGGTATATATAGGCATAAATTCGCCTTATTTTTTATTTTTTTTTTAAAAAAAAACGCCATAATTCAACTAAATTTTTTTAAAAAAACGCCATAATTCACCTAATTTTTTTTTAAAAAAACGCCATAATTCACTTAATTTTAAATCTTAAACCGTGAATTAAAAATGATAACTGAAACCACTCTTTCTAAATTACGCTATCCAGACTACTGGAGAAATTCATTCACTTTATGGAGTAATGCAGAAGCTTGGGACTCCTTCTACTTCAAAAAAAATCCGGATACAACAAAACAATTGTCACGAGATGCTTTGTACGGAGAGTTGAATATTTTAATTCGAGATCTAGAATCGGGCAGTAAAGAAAAAGAGAAAGCGATAGCAATGAAGAGTGATCTAAAGGTAAATATTTTTATGAACGAATAAAATGTTTACTGAATGTGCTGCACCCTGTATTGTTTGTACGGGGAAGAACGCGTCAGGCTCTCTGCATCAGTAAAGAATCTCATCCTGTTACGTGCACTGAGAAAATGTGCTACACCTTATTCTGCTGGTATAAGGGAAGAATGCGCCCAGACATGAATACTAACTTACTATTCTTTGAAAAGTGTGTCATCCTGATGGCGTGCACTGTGCTACATCCTGTTCTGCTGGTACGGGAGAAGAATGCGTACAGACATGAACATTACTGTGCTGACAAAGATTGCCATCTGGTTGCAAAACTAAAGTGTGTGACAGTTTACAATTAATTAATTAACTTCGGCGTATATTAAGTAGATTTTAAAATTAGAGTTATTAAGAGATAAAAAAAGGGATTTATACCAAAATTACGCGTAGAATTTTTTTTGTTAAGAGCACCACGGGCTGTTTATAAGAATCTTTAAAGTTTTTTTCTTAATTTCGTCGACAAACACGTTAAAATAGATTTTTAAAGTTAGGGTTTGGAAAGAGCTAAATGAAAATTTTATATTCAAATTATGTGGATAGTTTTTTTTTAAAGAGCACCAAGAGCAGACTCATAAGCAAATTTCGAAGAGATTCTTAATTTCATCAATCATATTTCAGATTTACATATTAAATAGACTTGAGAAAAAGGATTAGTCAAAATTCGTCCTAGTTTCATATACAAAATTCGAAGTAGGATAATATTAATTTTGTCACTCACATTTTAGATTTGCTATTCATTGGCGTGCACCATTCTTCAATTAAGATCTACTATTCTGAAGAAAGAATAGATTATGCATTTTTCTTGTGAAGAAACTTTAATCACATTTTTTATATAGTTACAGAAATCGGCAAAAAGAAAAAACTATCAAGACGAAAAAGAAAATCAATTACCAACCAAAAAGCATAAATCCACCATTACCCTTTTTTGTCTGCAGAAAGATGATGATCTTCTATCCGCTTTCCCAATCGAAATAAAGTGCAAGGCGACCATAGGTGATTTAAAAGAAGCTATCAAAGAAAAAATTCAAGTCCCTATCGCCAAAGATTTAAGCCTCTGGAAAGTTGAAATTCCAGATGATGATGAGGATAAATTGTCGAACATTGTGCTGGATGACAAAGAAAGGCTTCGTCCAACAAGAAAAATAAATAAATATTTTCCGGAGGTACCTGTTGAAGACCATATCCATGTCATTATATCTTCAGGAAAATCAAGCGAAGATCAAGCACTTCAACCCTTGGAATTGCAAAAGATCTATAATGATATACATGGTAAAGTATTTTAATAAATATTATTATATAAAAATAATCATTTAAAAAATAGTGGTTAGAGATTAGAGTAGAGCAGTAAAATTTAACATAAGTATTTTTTAAAAAATTCTTTGTTTTTGTTACACAAAATTGAATTTTAATTGGCAAAATAATTATCACCTATGGTGTAATTTAGCAATTTAAAAAAAAAAAAATCATTTAAAAAAAAAAAGTATATAATTTTAAAACCAAAAAGTATATAAATTTATACTAATTTACCATCGTAATCTATTGCAGAATTCGACATTTTGGTAAGTCCTAAACGTACTAAATCATTTAAGTGGGTTACAAATATCGAACAAACGACCCTCGGAACACTTAAAGAATCGATCGTCTCCATTTACAAGACCCCGGAGCTTGAAAATAACGGTACGATTCTTAATTTCACGTCGGATGGTAGGAAGTATTTTCCCCAAAATGATATACAGTTTCGTGATATGCTTAGATTATTCGTAAATAAGAAGAACCTCGAATTTACCGTGAATATAGAGACTTCGAAGCCTTTCTCCGATTGGACGTTTACTAAAATGTGTAGACAATACAAAATTGGAGAATTTGATGAATGCATTTCCCAATTTTGATTGCCAAAGCATGGATTTAAACGATTCAAATTCGAAATTAATAGTCGAGCACCTTGTTGCCGAACTAAAATACCGAAGCAAGGTCATTCCAATAAGTAGGAATGAGGCTTCAAGAAGTTTGTTTGCTAGTGCATTTCTTGTTGCAGCAACAAACATTTTTCCCGGTAAATTCGAGGTTCGACCTGAGAAATATGTTGCTGGGCCTAATGGTCATGGATTTGTCGATTATGGGTTAGTCTTGTCCCAAACTTCGAAATTGGTGGGTATTGTGGAGGTTAAAAGTAAGGATTTTTCGTTAGGCATTGCACAAAATGTTGTGCAATGCGAGTCATCTTTAAATGACAAAGAAAGGGTATTTGGAATTGTAACTGACACGGAGAAGTGGTATTTTTTGGATTGTAAATTAAATTATCAAAACCAAAAATTGTTATGTACGAAGATCGTAACATGGAGGGTATGGTAAAAAATGTACTTGGCCATATTACATGGTTACTTAATGAGTCTGTAGAATAGTTTCAATTTAAAATGTAGATTAATTATTAAATATTAAAAAATTAATAAAGGTTAATTACAAAATTCAAAATAAAATAAATAACGTATTTACCGGTATTTCAAAATAAGCGCATACAAATTCTATTTTTTTTTAAAAAAAATATGTATTTATTTCGCGTACAAATTCTATTTTTTTAAAAATATGTGCTTATTTACATAATTGCTTACCGATGAATGTTTATAAAAAAAAAAGTTAATTTTATCACCGGTTACACCTAATTAATTTTGATTCGGATTTTTTAATCTTTTAAAACCCCACTAAGTACATACTATAAAAAAAATAGAATTTATACGTCGCTTCTTTTAAAATAAATACGTCACTTATTTTATCTAAATCGGACGCCAAATAATTAATTCTAAAACCGTTTTTAAAGTTTGGTAAGATCGTAAAATTGAAATTGTATTATTTGAAATTGGATCATTTAAAATCGTACCATTTAGTATTATATTTTATTCTGTGAATAATTAATCTAAAAAACTTAATATTTTTTATTAATTTGCAATATTTCATATTCCTCTACTGAAAAATATGATAGTATATACCTATAAGTATTTTTGTATATATCTGCATTTCTAATTGCTTTCTCATATGTAATTATTGAAAGCCTTTTTTTCAGGGAATTTTTTATGATAACTAATACCCGAATCATAAGAAGCAATTGCCGCACATTTTTTTTTTTTTTGTATTAGAATCCAAATCTGTGTATAATTCATCTTGTAAAATGGCTTCATTATAAGATCCTTTTGTTTCAATCCTTGTGAATGAATTGCTTCAAAATTATATGTTATAAAACTTAATTTAGTTCCAACAATTCATCGATTTTTTTTTTCGTGAATATTAGCTATATTTTTATTAGTACTATTAGAATATTCTTCTATTAATACTTCTAAATACTATTTATGTAACTATCGATCATCAGAAATATAAGGCACTTTAAAAATTTATATGAAAGATATCAGGTCTTGAAAGAAAATAATAAATTATTATATAAATAAGTTTAAAAATCAAAATAAATAAGATATATGAACCGCTGATTTCGAAATAAATACATCACTAATTTAATTTGAAATCAGAAAACTGAACCTTAATTCTGAATCATCCCATTATAAATTTAGCGCGTGAAGTATCAACTCTATCGATAGATATGCTTCCAATAGATTTGATATTAATCCACTGCCGTTTTACCTGTATCAAATTGATTAACGAATGAATTATTAGGTCACCGCCACAAATAAAAATCACTCCTTTTGCCACCAATACACGCTGTAGCAGAGTCTTTTGAGGACCACTGATATAAATAAGGCCAATCTATAAGATATTATCTATTATTGTAAATATTATAAACGGTTCGAAACATTTAAATAAAAGAATTCATTCGTAGTAGTAGTAAAAAGTATAGATCCACCACCAAAATAATTTCTATAAGGATTTAGGAATTATTATATCTTTCGCTTGAAAAAAAAGAAGCAGAAGCTAAATTTAAGAATACGACGGTAATCATATATCAAATAGAATCATAATAACTAACTATTTATAGTTATCATATTTACTTGTAATATATTTGTAACTAATAATGGTATAAATTCTATGCTTGTAATTAATAGCTTAAACGAATGATCTAAGGTTAAATTAATAGTAGCCTATATTGTTTTGAGTTCATAGAAAGGATGTATTCAACCGTCTTAGAACCCCCAATTAATGGGTTAAACTATGTGTCGGGAATTAAATTTTAATTAACGGAAAGTATTTTTTAATCGATAAATCGAGCTTGTCATTACGTGAAAGAAAAATTTCAAAAATAAAAAATGGGCAGTGAACTTACCATTTCATTCAAAAACTTTTTGTCTAGAACCTCCTTTTTTTATTTTTTTTTGCGCTAACCTATCAAAAATTTATAAAAATTAAAGTGGATAAAGTATTGCTCAAGTGTTTTCATACCTTTATTATGAATTTCATTATTAATACACATTTTTTGTAAAATTTTCGTTAAACTATTTAAAATCCGCGATTTGAGATCTTTATTTGATCTATTGTCGAATTTGAACAACACTACAATTATTAGAAAATCTAAGGAATATTAATGTTCGAGGTTGTAATTCAGTAATTCTATTACCATAGAAAATCGTTTGTCGAGAAAATAGTTGTGCTATAAAAGTGATTATTATAGATTAACAAATAAGAGATGTAATAAACAAATAATGTAATAAATAAAAGCACAACAAATAAAGTTTTAACAAAAGTCACTTTATTTGGCATACTCATATTTAGAGGTCCAATCCGGATAAATCCGTCATCCATTTATCCATATCTAATTTATCCGGATATCCATTTACTATTGGTATCCGGATAACAATAGTAAAACAGATATCCGAATAAATTCGGATCTGGATATCCAATAGATAAATGGATAAACGGATAATGGATAATGGATAGGAACTCTACTCATATTCATTACATCCTTTATATTATCTTAATCATCACATCCTTAAAAAAATTGGACATACCACCTCCTCTTATTAAGATTTATTAAAATATTTATCACACCTCAAAAAAATTAAAAAATACAACTCTACTGCAAGAGATCAATTAAAATATTATAATTAATAAATAGATTAAACTTTAATATATTTAAAAATAATACATAAATAAGTTATGTTTATCAAAAGACAAATCATAAAATATCTATATATTAGTTTAAAAAATATATAAAGCTTAATATAACCAAAGCCTGCTTTTAAAAGGCAATTTTATTATCTAGGTTTTGGTATAGTATATATATAAAATAATTCTTACAATTAGTAATAATTATAAATAAACTAGACCCATGGTTTTACCATGATTTTGTAAAATTCATAAAATTTTAAAAGCTTGATCAGGAATCCATAATTTAATTAAGTGTGGATTAAATAATATTAATAGAATAGTTATATATACTCTAAATCAGGCTATTCTCAACTTTCAAAAGAATGATTATCTGAAAAGTAGTGTCACTGCAACAGAGATATTTGATTAGCAATAATTTAGTTCTTGAATTTTTTGTTAAAATAATGTCTAAAATTAAATAAATAGCAATAAATTATTAACTTTGGTTAATAAATGATCATTAGGTTCATACATGTATTAAGTAAGAATAAATAAAAATAAGGTTAGTTGCATATCCTAAATATCTCTATCAATTAAACTTTTAAACTCACAAAATCCAGAATCAAGTAATAAAGATTTCTATTGTGAGCTATTATAAAAAATTTTATTTATTATGTAATTAAGGCTAAGTTAGTTTTGTATTAAAATTATTATAATTTTTATCATTTGTTACTATATAAACATATCTTCTATTCTGGTGGACATAGTATATAATTAAGATTTAATTAGATTGGTTTGTATTAGAGCTATCATTATTGTGAAATTTCTGTTACAAACCTTATTATTCCAGTGGTATACAGAAGTAGCTAAAAAAATTCAACATACTAATATATAATTTCTATTTTAAATATAAATAAAAAAAGATCATTTGCTACATAATTAATATATTTTCAGGAGCAGCCACTTTGCTTATTTTATTCAAAAAAAAAATTGTTTATTTAAACATTTTATATATGTTATATTTATAACACAAATATTAATATGATTATATATGATATAATTTAAAAGTAATTTTCCCAAAATTCTGGGTTGAAATACATTGGGAATGACTATGAAAATTCTTATAAGTTAATAAAATTAAAATAAGGTAGCTATGCAATGCAGTCATGCTAGAAACCAGAAACAAATAATTATATATTCTTAACACAATAAATAAACAATAGTGAGTACTGTCAAAAAATAATAAGACAACTATTTTTGTAAAATCAAATAACTTTGTAGAATCACATAGTTAACTTGTTATTTTAAACTGAGTTTTTGTTATAGTTTTATAACATCTTGATATTTTTCTAGTTAATAATATTTATACATAATGTACTTTGATATGAAAATTCATAATCAATTGTGAATAGGTTGTGATGTTTTAAATTTATACATCCTATTTTTATTTTTTTGTATTAAATCAGCCAACTTCATATTGATCGTTTGCATAATTAATAGTGTATATTATCATCATTATTCATAATTGATCTGTAAATTAATAATCAACTAGCATAGCACCCACCCATGCCTCTGGCACAGAAAATTTATTGTAAAAGATCTTATTACAAAACTTACTATTTTGATAATATACATATTATGAGTTATGATAAAAAAATTTACTTATTATTCTAGTAACACGCTATATATAGTTGAGTTAACAGGGACAGCATGCAGTACAGATTTTCCGAATCTGGACTGCAGATCATTTCCGATCTGGCTCCAAAATCCAATAAATTTAAAACTTTGAGCAAAGTTATCTTAACGACCACTTAATTAAATTCAATGAAAATTTTTTTATTTGAATTATACAAATTTGCTGAATTCAAATAAAAAACTTTTTATTGAATTTAGCATGCAGTCATTGAGATATCTTTGCTCAGATTTAGAAAAAAATTCAATACCGTATATCAAAATAAAAGCTGCGCCGAATTATTTTTAAAACTTTAAGCAAAGATATCTTGACAACCACCCAACTAAATTTGATAAATTTTTTTTTATATTAATTCTACAGATTAGTAGAATCAAATAAAAATTTATCATCGAATTTAGTCAGGTGGTCATTGAAATATCTTCGCTCAAAGTTGAGAAATTTCAAAAAGTTGCACAAATAATTATTAAATTTGAGCGAAGATATCTCGATGACCGTCTGACAAACTTTATAAATTTTTTTATTTGTTGAATTTTAGAAACAAGTAGAATTCAAATAAAAAAATTTTCATCGAATTTGGACAGGTGGTCACTGAGATAACTTCACTTAAAGTAGGAAATTTTAAAAAACATCTTAAAAATAGAAGTTGCATTAAATTATTTTTAAAACTTTAGATGAAGATATTTCGACAACCACCTAACCAAATTTGATGCTTTTTTTTTTATTTGAATTCTAAAAATTTGCTGAATTTAAATAAAAAACGTTTTATCGAATTTAGTCATGCAGTTGTTGAAATATCTTTGCTTAGATTTAGAAAAAAATTCAAAATGTCTATCAAAATAGAAGCTGCACCGAATTATTTTTAAAACTTTGAGCAAAGATATCTCAGCAACTACCTAACTAAATTTGATGAAAATTTTTATATTCGAATTCTACAGATTCATAGAATGTAAATAAAAAAAATTTCACCGAATTTGGTCAGATACTCGTCGAGATATCTCTGCTCAAAGATTTAAAATAATTTGGCACAGCTTAATTAGTTGAGATGTTCTGAATTTTTTCAACTTAGAGTTAAGATATACCGGTGACCACCTGATTAAATTCTGTGGAAATTTTTTTAATTGAATTCTGTGAATCTGTAGAATTCAAATAAAAAAAGTTCTATCAAATTTGGTCAGGTGGTTGTTTAAATATCTTTGCTTAAATTTTTAAAAATAATTTGGCGCAACTTTCTATTTTGAGAAACGTTGTCCAACTTTAAGCGAAGTTATCTCAGTGACCACCTGACCAAATTCAATGAAAATTTTTTTATTTGAATTCTATTTATTTGTAGAATTCAAATAAAAAATTATAAAAGTTTGTTAGGAGGTCATCGAGATATCTTCGCTCAAATTTAGAAATAATTTGCACAACTTTTGAGATGGTTTGAATTTTTTCCAACTTTGAGCGAAGTTATCTCAACA